ATTAAGACAGCTGTTTGAAATATTAGCGAAGAAAGGAAGAATGATAGGGACAAATCATTGAGTGATAAATGGCCTAGTTGATAACAATGCTACTTATTGGCAAAGAAAATTGAGACTATTTGTTCTACATTCATGAAAATTTTCAAGTCCATTAAAAGATAACAATTTTGCCGTCGATTTAAATATGTTTTCATACAATCCGGAAGCATTTCTGTATTTCAATCTAAAAGACAGGCAATATATTCTCTAAATAATCACTAATTCTTAAATTTCATCACTTTCCTCTTTCATAATCATTTACGTTTCTCTGAATTTCAGGATATCTTCCAGTTGGATTATTCAGATAAATAAATTGAAGAAACAATGGATTAATTAGATTCATATTCTTAATTTATGGCCAACCGTGCCTGAAGAAACCAATAATATTGAAATAAAGCATATAATGGGATCATCAGAGATTCCTAATCGATATTTATGAAACTAAATTCGAATTAAATTAGATGAAGTATATTTAAATTTTAAAAATTTTCAAACTTAAACAAATGAGAATTCTATCATCCAAATTAAAATTTATTTTTCCATATGCAATTTTTATAAAATAATGGAACAAGATACAATTTCTAAATACAATTGTTACTTATCTTATTTAAATAAGATGAATTTAATAATCTTTTTATATCTTACACCTAAAATAATGCATTCCTTCATTGCAAGTCCCAATATATATCTATAATCATCGTTATAATCATAATATAAATTATAGTTATAATCATAATATATAATTAGTCTCAATTACATTATGCAGTTTAACGATTTATAATTATATAATCAAAATTATTTACAACCATTCAATAAGATTTTTGAATTCAATATCAATTATTAAATCAATGTAATCAATATGTATTCATTATGAAGCATTTATTAGCGCTACTAAAAAGATAAGCCAAGCAATAAACAAAAAGAATAATCATTCATATAAATACTGCATATTATGAAGTATAAAACAATGCATATTGATTTAATAATTCATACTAAATATAAATAATTTATATATTAATTTATTAAAGAATAAATAATTAATTATTTAACGAAATATAACTGATATTTTTTATTTCATTACAGAATTTAAATTTGAAATTTTGCATTACTAGTATAGTTACATTGCTAAATAGGTTAATCATTAGTTAAATTTTACGGAAATATATACTGTACTGTTATCACATTACTGAATATATAAATTTGATATGATATTTAGCTGTGATTAGTATGCCATTTCGTTTTATCTTTCTTTTTCTTCTTTTTTTAGCGAACATTTTTTACAAATTTTACATTGAATAGCAGCAATTTGAAATTGCATATCCATCAAATTGAATATCTTAAATGCATGGATATTTGATTGTTTTAGATTTCTCTTATATTTAACTATTATGAGCTTCGCTACATTTAATTATTATAAAATTTTCTGTAATATTTATACTAAGTGCCTCTACGATTTGATACCTTCTATGACACATATATATATGCCAATTAATGTTTGATAAAAAGAATTGTAGAAATTAGAAGAATTCGTTTTCTTAGTCTTTCTTTCACTCAAAGTTTTTTTAATCAAAGCTTTTTCTGAAATGAAAGCAAAGTTTGAGATATGAAAAAGTTATACAGCGTGACGACAACGTGATATAAATCAGTATGATGGTTTTTCTTATTTGGATTGTTATTGTGGGCGATAAGGCAATGAGATAGACTGTGTTTTTTAGGAGGATTAGAGATTGGTAAAGTGGGGAGTGGTATGTTAGAGATTGGTGATTATGTAGTAAAAATGTTAAATTTAAGAGATGAGAGGGTTTGTCAAATTTAGCGAAATATGAACGGAATTGCCATACTATTCTTTTGTTTGTATTATTTGCAGTCATGGGATTGTTTAAATTTTTAAGGTTTTGTCGATTATTTGAGGATAAGGCCTACTATGTCACTATTTTTACTAAGATTAATTAGTAATATTAATAATAATGAGGTACATTTAGTGCTTTTACTGATATGCTATGATGTCATCACTGGTTCTAATTATAGCAATAATAATCTCTTAATTAGGAGTATTTCTTAGTCGCCAACAATAGTTGATTTCGTATTGACAATGAATAGCTAGTAATGTCTAGTTCTTTTGGTTATTTTTTCAGGTAAAATGTTTGGTTTAAAACTGTCATCATTTTGTTGGAGAATCACTGCCATCGAACAGCGTCGTGGTTTCGCAACCCTAAAGGATATTTCGATTCGATTGAAATCTGTTCGAAATATTCAGAAAATCACAAAAAGTATGAAGATGGTATCTGCTGCGAAGTACAGCAAGGCGGAACGTGACTTGCGAGTAATCTTTGCTTTTCTTATGTCCTTGAAAATACTCTATATTCTGCAGATCGTATGTGCTGGTGTTTTCCAAAGTATTTCATACAGTACAATGAGTATGCATAATGGTAACCTGCTAATTAGACGGCCACTGATTTTTTTTTAATATTCAGGGTGCTCGAGTTTTCGGCATCGGTGCGTTACAGTTCTATAATAATATTGGTGCAGAAGAATTAAAGGATGGACTTCCAGAAGGTAGTATAGCTTCTGGAGAAAAAGAAAAGCGTTTGCTAGTGTTGATTACGTCAGATCGAGGGCTTTGTGGCGCTGTGCATTCGTCTGTTTCAAAGGTTACTCCATTGCTAATTTATTTATACTCATCATGTTTTCATAGTAATGTTTGGTAAACATGAGATGGTATTCTCATTTTTAAAATTCTGTGCTATTTATGCTGATTCGTTGAAGCTTGCAATCTCAATGTAGATGACCGAGCAAGAAGGAAAAATTTTTCCTTATCTTTAGTTCAGTATGTTTTGCTTTACAGGAAGCTAAACGACTGCTGACAGAAAAGGCATCGGAGGCAGATTACAAATTGGTACTTATTGGTGATAAAGCTAAAGCATCGATGCAGATTCTTCATGCAAATCATGTTCTATTCTCATGCAATGAAATTGGCCGATTACCTCCAACTTTTCAGGATGCTTCAGTTATTGCTGCCAAAATTCTAACATCGGATTTCAAATTTGATAAGGTGATTTGAATTTCCAAATTTTTTCTGTACTAATATAAAAAAACTGCACAGTGCTGAATCAAGTATTGCACGGTGCTGCAAGAGTCTCAGCTACTTATATAATTTTCGTAATGTTGCCTGACCTAACTGTTAGTCACTAGTTGTTCCTTTAGGTACGGTATTCCACAGAAAGTTACAAATTTCTTTCTCAAAAATGAAAAAATCTTGTTCCACAAAATATAAAAACCACTGCTTCGATGTTACTTTCTTCAAGATTTGTCATTGTTGGTTCTTGGCAATTCTTACTACATATTTTTCATTTTTATTCATTATCATTGTTATTATACATCTTTATTAATTGTCATATAGATAATAGAGCAATACTTTTCTAAAAAATTTTTATGGTTGCAGGGATTTATACTGTATAATAAATTCAGATCTGTTGTATCATACAAAACATCCGTAATACCTATGTTTACGCTGGATACTATTGTGGTTCGTTTTTGTATAATCTTTTCACCTTCTTTATCTGCAACTGCTTGTAATTCGATTGCTGGACAGGATATAAGCTTTTAAGTCTGATAATTTTGTGTGATAACATTCTGAAAAGTATTTTCATTGTCGAGTATATGAACACATATGACGTCCCGTACTTTATATGTTCAAAACCGTTTTCACAGTTTATTTAGTCCTACATTTTAACTTTCAATGGATATTTAAGAATACTGTAAATATTCACATACAAAAAGAATTCATAGATTTCATAAACGACTTTTAACAGTTATATTTTTCTTACGAAAAATTTATTACGCAGAAGCAACCAACAATGTCCATGTATGACTCAATCGATGACAGCGTGTTAAACGATTATGCCAATTACTCGTTAGCTCAACTGCTATATTACGCTCTGAAAGAATCTGCTGCATCTGAACAAAGTTCCCGAATGACTGCCATGGATTCAGCAAGCAAGAATGCCGGTAAGTTCGGATAAACTTTAGACTTTTTCAACCTTTTGACCTCTTCTTCTTCCAAAATTTGAGTTCATGCATGCTTTTCTTCGAACCAAAATTTGAGTAAGTTTGCTGAGTATTGTAGAATGGTTATCTTGAGATTATCGTTACATAAGAATTTTAATTTTTCGGTTTCCGTTTCCGTTCACCATGCAACTTTATTTTAGTAATAAAAGTAAAAATTGTAGGTGAAATGATTGATAAACTGACGATGTCTTTCAATCGAACACGACAATCGGTTATTACACGCGAATTGATCGAAATAATATCTGGAGCTGCATGCGTTTGAAGTTAATATATATGTAATAGGGTTTATTTTCCATGTTCGATAATGTTAATTACGAATTTTAATATGGATATGTGTGTTTGAATAGGATAATATTCTATAAAATTTCATTTTGATGTATTGTTAGCAGTTTTGCTGTGGCTTAACCCCTTTACATGGATTTTGTCATTCCTGCTATTATTATTCGGAAACTACCACTAAGCGTATGTAAAAGTTTCCGAAGTCGGTTCTGATATTGTTAAGAGTAGCCCTGGATGGATGAGTAAATAGTGACAGTGACGAGGATAGTAAAAGAATGTAATTAAAAATGGTGAAGTCATAATATTTCAACACTGCTTTTGCAATTCCTGCTCAATATTGCTTAATAAATATGATATATAGTAAAATTAACACGGATCATGTTTATGCTTTGTGGTGTACAACATATCCAAATGGGAATTATGGTGATCTGGAATAATTTTAAAGATTCCACCGAGTACGTTTGATTCGTTGCTCTTCACTTAAAGTTTATGTGGGAATAATTTTGCTGCAGCTGCTTTTCATTTTTTTATTAAAGGAACAATAGAGTCAACTTAAGACATTCGATTTTGCTTGGACTGTATCTTGAATGAGTTTATATTAACCAACATTGGACATGGAAGGAGCGGCTGATAATCAGCCAGGTTTTGATCGAAGCCATGTGACAGAAATGGAAGAGGCAGCAAATATAATTATGGTTTGTTCCTAATTTTAGAAATGCTCTCAGGGAAAGAAAAAAAATGGCCCAATCTTTTGACCGGTACTTGATTGGTTTGCTTCGCGATATACTGAGGTTTGAGGTCAGGCTTGAGGCCTATTTGGCCTTTACATGGCTGTGTGTCTCCCATACTTGATTTATACATTTCAAATGAGGAATTTTAAATTAAAATTTCATAAACAAACCGTAATTATTATATCAGGTCTAAGTATTTTGAAAATTTCTTTACATGTTTCAGATTTATGTCTTTGCATAAAGTGTGAAGTGTTTTAATTTTTTCACTGCAGAATTCCATTATCTTTTTTGGCTTAAGTTAAGAAATATCAAGAAGATATGTGAAATATGTGAATTTTCAGTCACCGAATATTTCGCATGATGCTCGAAAAGCTGCCGAACAATTCTTTCTCAGTATTCGTAACAGGAAATTTTCTCCAGAATATTGCCGTCTAGTCATTGGTAGCTAATTTCAACTTTTTACTGTTTTCTTTTTGTTTGATTTTCGATTTCTAAATGACTTCCAACTATTTAAAAAAATATCTGTAAGATGTTAATGCCTTAGTTCTTTTTTATGTCAAAGAGCCATTTTTATCTGTTTATAACACATTTCTAGACGTGAGGTAGTCTTTTTCTTATAATTGAACTATCATTATTTTTAGAAGTAACATCCAATGAATTTGTTATCTTTGAAATGGTTCAGCTTATGGTTATGAATCTGTTCAAACAGTGGTCCATATTGCAACCACCGATTTTTCGTCAATGTTTTGAATATCTTTTAGAAAACGCCGTCCGTAAATTTAGGTAAAATCTTTTCAAAAATTAGCCATGTTATATTTTCAGTTCAGTGAACCAGAATTTTTGAAAGTTGTTATTCCCAGTATATATGTTGTTTTACTTGATTATTTATTGGAACGAAATTTCACTGTCGACAGGGCCTCAAAATTGATTCGAGCCGAAATGCTAAGAGCATGTGCGAAATTAATAAAGCGATCTATTTTTGATGGTAAAGCTTGTGATGCAGATACAGTGGACCAAACTGTCCATTTCCTGTTGACTAATGAAGATCCACAACTTGTAAATATGTTTGTTCTTTTAGTTAAATGGATTTGTTTTCGATTATGTTTTCGGCATTGGATATATTTGTTCACTAATTTTCACACATCATTCATCTTTTATTGAGAAAGGAGATGAAGATAATATAGATAGGAAGTAATACATCTCTAATTTTTGAGGAAAACGCCTGAGTCACTGATTTATTTTACAGATTCAGTTGAAATTCAATTTAAGATGATATGAAGTTCGAATAACCTACTTTTCCAGCAAGCGGTTGCGTGTGAGTTCATCGAAGCAATTGCCAGTGAATTTGTAACATCGTGGAGGATGTCTAATCTTGGCATCAGTTTTGATTTTCATCTCAGGGCTAGGCGTTCATTTGAGGTTTTATTTATCTTTATTCATGTATATTAAAAAAATTTTTGAGTTGTACTTTTGGTTTGTCAGAGCTGCCAGAACTATCGGTTTTTTTTTGATATTTAATGCTAACATAATATATTTGCATAATTCTTATGGAACGGGAAATTTTTTCATGTTTAATCTAATTAGTTACTGTATATTTTCATACATTATGTGCTTGTTTTAGTGAGGAACGCCAAAGAAGTGGACTAATTAGTAATTAATAGTGCTTTTAAAATTACTTGAAATAGGACGAGAGATATGAAATGAAGTAGACAGATAAATAACAAAATAAGAATTTAAATAAAAACAATGCTGTGAGTAAGAAAGGGATGGAACTTGTGTAAATTATCTGAAATGGCATAAATAGTTGTTTAATTAATGTCATTGATTTGATACAGTAAGTTGAGTTCGTAAATTATTAATCATAAACATCAAATATTTTAGAATGGAAGCTTACAACGACTCTTCGAAAAGTGTATACGTATTTTTTCCGAACTTCTCTTCACTGCTGATCTCTCGTTACCATATTATGTACGTACTTCGTTCTTCTTTTTTTCTTTGTCTTCTCTGAAATATAGATTGTAGCAATCAAGAAGAATAGTTGAAGCGCTTTTTGTTTTCCACGTCTGACTACAAATAGAAGCGATATCAAAAGAATAATCACAACTGCTTGACCAACTTTTGAAAAGTAGTGGAAACAACAAATCCTAGCTGGAGTAAATTTAAGACTTTTATATCGCAACGATTTCGCTATCCTTAGGCTATGGGTTGAACGATTTCTAGCAGTTTTTGAAAGTTACATTTGCCATTACTTTTAATATGAAACCTTCCATATTCGCAATGGTTTTCATCTTCTTTACTTCTTTACTGATCCATGCGAATAAATCGACAAATCAAGGACCTTAGTTTTGATCATTCTGCTAGATACCTATGACATTTAAGAGTTAAGCAGTAAAGTACAAAAATCTATGCTTTGAAATAAGAAAAAAAGATTCCTGCAATTTCCATCTTATTTAGTTCTGTTCTTCAGGTAAACATATGTGAAAATTTTCTTCGGGTAGCCGATTTAGTTCTTTCCTGGAATTTCGAGGTTCATCGTTTTCCAATTCGGATCACTTTTGCAAATGAAGGAGCACCCGCTGCAGCATTAAGACCTCCTGAATCATGGAAAGCAATCTTTCAGTCGGACGAATTTTTGCACCTTTTCTTCGGGGTTTGCATATAATGTGTTCTGAGCAGTAGCAAGTACCAAGTTTTAGATGAAACATATAAAAAGCTTGCTGAATAATATTCATAGGAATACATTTGTAAATTCGATAAATTCTGAATTTGGAATTTGATATTTTGGATATAGCCATATCTTGCTTAAAACACAATAGTTATAACTTTAAGGACAAATCAGTAAAGGGCATCGTATTTGGCTGTGTTTAATTTTTCAGTTACACAAACGAGTTCGTCACAACGAAACACTTTGTATACACTCAATGAATTGCCTTATTCAGTTATCTTCATTGATGGGACCTGTTCTAATTGACGATGAATCAATTATTAAATTGCCTGCATCCAGTACTTCAAGCTCTGTTAATGCTCATGATCGATATGTGTCAAATTTCATCGCTGGTTTTGTAGACATTTTTGGAAGGTACTTTTTCCCAAAGTTAGACTTGCGAAGTTTTTTTTGCTTCCAAATACATGAATTAGCATTGAATAGGCAGAATGTCACATTCCAAGCTTTGCAGAAAATAGGCAGAGCCTTACTTTACCCCCTCCCCCTGCCAGTCCTAATTTGACTTACCAATCGGCTGTTTGAGTTGAATTTTCCTTTTTCTTGCGCATTGCGTATGCTCTTCCAAAAGCAAAGAGCATAATAAAAAAGGTTAAAAAAGCATACGGAGTTGTCTAAAACCTTTTGATTTATATATATAACCAGTCTTGTAGTTTGAATAAAATCTTCAATTTTATCAGGCTTTTGATTTTCAGCGGCCCATTGGAAAGAGAGATACTTGGTTTTTGCATGATTGTACATAAGTTACTGACATATCATCGAATTCTTTCGTTTCCCCGAGCCGAGATGTCATTCGTAACATTTCTAACCATTTTCGTACAATGTGTTGAACATCTGACTCCGATTGCTATGCAGAAAGCTTTGGTGGGATGCATTTGACTATTTGCTTACAAAATTTCGAAAATGTTATTCGACCTGTAGAGTTTATATCTGAGATTTAAATAGAGATGATACGAAGAAATAAAAGTCATTAATTTTAGAGGAAACTTGGAATACTTAAATTTCATAGGCTTTTTTATTCGTTATGAAATCATTATTTAGCTGCATCATGTTTCTATTCAATTAGATTATTTCATTCGTAACTGTAGCTCATCATCTGAGTCACGTTTAATTACTGATTATTTATTTGTAAAGGTATAACTAAGTGATTTACTAATGGTTTAATCAACTTGTAATTTTTATTTTCTGAAGGAAGAAGACGATTACGTCTATCTTGAAAGTTTACAAAGCTTATACGATGGTTGGTGGGTGATGCTTCGAAATTGCAATATTATCAGGGATACTTGCCGTTATCCTGTTAATTTTGAAGAATCAACTATAACGATTATTTCGGCATTTATGAGAACCGTTCTGTCGGAACCGTACGGTTGCCGGATAAAGGTATTGGCTATTATTTGCATTATTTTCCGGTTTAATATTGTCTTGTCGCACGTTTTTTGCAGTGCATGTTTATTTGAATTAATTACAGTAGGCAATATTGAATTGGCTTAATCCAACAGTAAGACCAACAACCATTTGATAATGAATTACATATTGATCTAAAACTGCAAAATATTTGACACTCTGATATAGTTTTTATTTTTTTTCCTTTTAAATTCACATTGATAAGCAAAACACTATGGAAATGAACTTATTGAAAAATGATATCAATGTGAGCTTGCTTAAGTCAGATTTAATTTTAATTGCTTTCTAGGTTTTAGTCCAAGAATATGACGAAGAAATTGATGATGACCGTGAAATATTCAAAGAATTATTAAACTCTGTCGGACGCTTTTCTGCCTTTTATTCCGCTCAGATGTTACCACGAATGTTTACGTACGTTTATTTTCTTTTCTAAAAAAATTACTGGACTTATTTCTCGAACTTATTGCTTACATATGTCATTTTAATACTTCAAAGAAATAAGCGCTGTAATATGCGAAATGTCCATAGACAAAATTTTTTCCATAGACAAAATGTTTATATCGACTTGCTTATTTTGTCTGTGTGGTATCTTTTTCCCGAAGGAATTACTGTTTTCTGCAGAGTTCTGTTTGACAAAATCAAACAGTTTCTGTCCTATATCGAAACAGGCGTAAACGATGAAATATTGAACACATGGCGAGAAGATATGCATTGGACTTTACTGCTAACTGGTGAGCTTATGTTAGCCTCAATTTGAAACATTTTCAGTGATTGTTCAGATAAAAACATTGAAGTTATGTGGCTTGCTTAAATTAAGAGGAATATTTCAGTAGTTGGCATTATAAGCGCATTCGTAACAAATAATTAAAGAGATCTTAAGGTCAAGTTAGGTGCCATTTGTTTACGCACTTCTCTTTCAAAATTACCCTGAAATTGGATCAATTTTTTAATTTATTGCCTGAATATTGATCTTTAAAGTGATATTTAAAAAAGACAAAAGCTAAGAAATGTGTTCAAAAATCTTTCAGGTTTTATATTAACAGCGAGTGATGACGATGGTGTTTCACATTTGCAAGACGATATCCTGGAATATTATGAAAATGCGTTGTGTGGTGAAGTTGATGTCGATTCTTCTGTACTATATATTAAAACTTGCATTGATTCACCAAATACAATTGCTGATCCTGCACGAGTAGATCCTTTAATAAAGTAAGTATCAGCTTGGGAAATATTGAGATGTAGTGGTCTATAAGTTTCAGAGGGCAGTTGGTGCTGTAATTGCTGTAATGTCAGCTAGTTAAATGATAATCTATTAACAAATGATCTCCAAAAAATAATTATGCATTTTTGAAGTTAGGCGATCTCTAAAAGCTATTAAATATTATGATCACGAATATTGGTTGGTGGTTAACGATAACAGATTTCATCTTCTTATAAAATCTTTGTTAAACTCTTCCGTTTCAATTGTAAGAACACACTCAAAGTGGAATTGTTTCCAGAATAATAGGTGCCGTCTTGGCTTGGTGTTCCATTGAGCATAAACTGTTAGTGGATCGTGGTGCAGAAGCAGTAAGTCCGGAATTAGCACGTTCATCACTATGGTGTATGGGGCGTTTGATATGTGCCGTGGGTTTTCACGCTATGAATTCTAAGGATAGTGAGCAATTTGCGGCTGTAATAGAAAATATTTTGCAAACAGTGGTCGATTTTACGTTGCAGAAATGTTTCAGCATATTAAATAATCTTTCAGGGGAACACAAGTTTGTTTTCTTTGCTTTTAATGAGATCAGCTAGCTGTAGTACCTACCGCAGTATAGGAATTTACCGGTTATGTAATATCGGCACATAGCATGATTTATTTTCAGAAAATCGAAAGAAACTGAGGAGTTTTTAAACGTAGTTGTCCCTTAAACTGGGATCAATTATCCACAGCTTGATCAAAAATGAATTAACGGGAATATTCTTCCATTTTGTAATTGCGCTACTATCAGAAATCGCGCAGTGCTAAGTGATTTTCTAGTTCATGCATGCTTTGATGTTCTCATGTTATACAATTTGTTCAATTATAGGCTGTGTGTGGATGCTGTAGAAGTATTTATTGGTTTGGTAAATTCTGTGTGTAATGAAACAGCAAAAAGTCCTTTTCTTTTTCTATGTCTTTCAACGGTACAAATTGAACGATTACCAGCTCGTCATTCTTTTGTGAAAGTGTTAGTGCAACTTGGCGGCATGGTCGACGATGAAAATATAAAGAAAATTTTGTATGAAATGGTTAGTTTAATAAATTAATCCGTTTTGCTCTGTTTTTTATTGCATAATGAAGTTATTTGACTAATTACAAATATAATGGTATGGTATACATTCTACCTTATTTTCTAATTCATTAGCTCAAAGTTTGATATGATACGTTGAGTCGGTTGATTTCGTTCTTTACCAATTGCAATTAGTGTTGTTAAAGTTTTGATAGAGACGCGCGAAATGAAAGTGCAGAAAGCTTTTTGACAGAGCATATTTATTTAGATCAACATCATTTTTCTTGACTTTCATAATAGATAATTTCTCTGCAGTGTGACACTACAAATACTTAATGCGAAATCGATTAATGATCATTTTCTTTTGAATTTTGTTAGAATTCCAAAAATTACTTGAAACATATATGAACTGGATACAAGAGATTCAGAAATTGTATGTCCGGAAATTTGTTTTCTTTTTTTTAGAAAAAAGAGTTGAATTTAAAATTAAAATGTCACTTTTTTTCGATGAAGAAATTATATTTCAGGTTTTGCAACCACTTCATGAAAGATTTATGTTTTTGACTAAGGAACAAGCAAGCTTGGAGACGGACCTCGTTGACTTAATGGATTGCTTTGGCGGTCTGGCTGAAGCTGCTCATAGTTATAACACCCATTTCTTATTTGGTATACCGCGATTTAAATTTAAGCATTTGTATGTATTCAGTAAAACCGCATAAACTAATTGAAATTTTTTAATAAATGAAATTTAATTGTAAGAGCCTAAAATGCTTATTTTCCAGAATACTTGTCACCAATTCTGACATGTTCAATTGGTCTATTGTTAACACACAAAGAGTCTCAGCTTATTACCAATGCTGTTCTGGATCTCTTCAACAGTGTCACAAAGCGTATGAGTGTCTATAGTGAGGATCGTAATGACATGAATTTTCTCTATGCGGTATAGTCATTTCTTATTTGCTATATTGCGATTTAAATTTAAGAATAAGTTTAATGATGAAAAAAATCGGGGACGAGTTTTGCAGAAGAAAACTATGCTGGCTTATAAGCTGTTTTATTAGTTAAAGTCTCAGCAGATCGAGTTTTAAGTTACCACGTAGCAGTCTTCTTAGTTTTCTTAAAGCTTCTGGATTATATTTGCACTCAAATGTTTTTGCAACCATTACTACTCCATAAGCTTCCCAGAGATCTTATAGTGCACAAAATCTAATTTTTATAGACATTGCTAGAACTTATTGGAGTTTATCGGGATGGACAGTTTACGCGGTATAAAGTGATTGACATTGATGTCGAAGAGAAAGCATCCGATCTAATAATATTATTAGATATTCTTGCCAATGTTTTAAGCAAGGATGTCCTATCGATTAGTCCTTCATCTTCATTCGGTTGATTCTTTTTTTTGTTATGTTTGAATTTTGTGAAAAGTTGTTTATTTGTTTCCTATCTTTATTTTTTCATTTTTTTGAAGTTTGAGATGGACTTTAGTACAAAAAATATAAATTTCACTGGAACTTCTGTCTCACTTGATTCGTTCCTGAATTAAGTTCAATCTAAATAATTTTATTAGCATCCCTTTATTATCAATGTGGTAATGCAGATACAACGGAGTTTCCAAAAAGCGGCTCTCGCGTTGCACTAATTGCCTTGGAGATGTTGCTACCTATAATGGAAGATGATTTGCTCAAATTACCTTTATTATGCCGAAAGTAAGTTTTATTTAAGTTTAAAATCTTTCACTACAAAAATTTACATAAAGGATTTGGTAATAGCTCTGAAAGCTAAAGGTTGTGAATAATCATCGGGATAAAACATTTGTACTTTGGTGGCCAGTATTCATTTCAGATTTTATCGCTTCATTTTGTATTTTACTGAAATGACACCACAGTCTCTTGAAAGTTTGCCCGAAGCATTGTTTATATCAATTATTGAATGTCTTCGTCATGGCTTGAAGTCGGATTTCGGACACGAGGTAACAAATGACACTTTATTTTCCTTACCTGCAAAAGAATTTTGTTTTAAAAAACGAACATATTAATGCAAATTAATTTTGTGAATTGCACTTCCTTAAAAGGCAAAATTCAGAAATGTTTTGCTATTTAAACTTCTTACTTGCATTCTTTTTTGTAAGTAAAAAAAATGTTCAAAGTGATCTTTTTACTCGTTGTTTTAAGATACAAGTAGTATAAAGGTTGAAATTTTTAATTACATTAATTTCTTCTGCTTTTTTATTTTCGGTATTTAGTATTATTTTTTAATAATAGCGTGCTTGTAGTCACTTAGCGTTCCATCTTGATTCTTTAACTTTAACTTTATGACACACCACTACACTCATTGCTAGTTCTGTCGTAATAGTTCTATTGTCGTTAAGTTATGTTTTAGATTTAATGTACTTTTTATGTGTCACATTTTCACAATACATGAATTTCAGATTTCGTTGATTTCCGCTGAAACAGTAGCCGAAATGGCCTCATATTTTGCTCGACGTACACCAAGGAATGAAGCAGCTATTGCACGTCTTGTTGTTCTTCTTGAAGTATGTTTCGTGATGTTTTTATACGTTTTGTATGAGCGAGCTATTATTATGCTCTCCTTGTCTTATAGTATGCGTACATCAAATAATCATAATATCATAATTTCAGTTAATTTCATTTATCAAACATTAAGCTTTTTTTGCCAAACTGAGCTAATCGCAAGATTTTTCTGTACCACTTTCTAATTTTTTGCTGATGGAAATTCAGAAACAACCTTGATTAGAATTCCATTGCGTTACTTTTAATTTAAAAGAAATTATTGAAGGCCAAGTTTTATTGAATGCAGTTAGTTTGGACTTCAATCCGATGTGATCTATGATTTGTGCTCCATTTTCTAGATGATTAATCTATTTTTTTTCCATGATACTATTGAATGCAATGCAAATCCATATAGTGGGCATGCCTTCTTTTTTCCACTTACTCGTTTTTTAAATAAATGCTGGAAATCGATTAAATTTATAGCCAACGTTTTGGATGTGTTTAAATTGTTCCTGGCAAGTAGATTTGCAAAATGCTTCCACAGCAGCCCTCTTCTCCCTGATTTGTTGCAATCAGGTATGTGGCTATTATTTTTCTTCTTTTTCCGTTCATTCAGAAGCTTGTAATTTGAAACAATAGACCAAGGAAATCAGCACACTATTTTACATTTGAGAAATATAAAGTATAGAATATTTTAACCAATTGCGCTTTACTATTGATATTATGAACCTACTGAACCTTTCAAAGAAATCTTCATCTCAGTTCTCTCGTCAGCCTTACTTAATTCCCTATTCCTAGCAAAATTTTGATAAGGCCTTATCTTATAAAACTGCCGGGTATTCAATAATTCTTAAATTAATAATTGCTTCGATTTCGCACATGAACTTGGATAAAAGGATATCATTGGTGTCATTGAATTTCAACTAATTTCAGGTTGCTTTCGAGGAATACGTTAAACAATTGCTCTCTCGTAATGAAAATCGCCCGTATTATTCGTCTCTGCATATAGCATTTCAAGCTTTATTACCAGCTAATCTAGAGTTTCATTTAGGTCGACGAGAAAAACGTGATTTTCGTGATCGTTTAGAGCAATTCCTGAATCAGTCGCAGGGTTTGCTTATTATTGAATAAAACGAAGGAATAAATACTAAAACCAATGAATAATCAATGAAATTTTTTAAGTTTTCCTCATCATTAGCTATTCTGAGATATGCTCTATATAGAAGTTGTGTGATTCTATCGTGTACAGGTTCCTCTTTTCTACTATAGCTTTTGTGCTATTTGACCTGTCTAATAATCATTAGTTTTAGTATTTAATCATTATTTTTTACGTCTAGATGTCGAAATGAAAACAACGAAATTTTCAATATAAAAGAATATGGCTTTATTTTTTCTTGAAGTTATATTAAATGAATAATGTTAATAAATTTTTGCTGTACTTAAAGGGAGTTAGCACTGAAAATTGATGGTTTTTACGATAATAATGAAAAATGAAAAAAAAGGAAAAAAGCTTTAATAGGCTTGCATAAACAGCTTTAATATTGCTTTGATAATTACAATTTATATGAGCGGACGTATAAAGTTAACATGTAGAATGTCGGTGAAAGAAATGAGAAATTTTGCTTTATGTATGACATACTTTCAGCGCACCTTAAGTATTCAGTTTTTTGTAGCATTGAAAAACACTGCTATATGAACCAATCTTCATGTGCGGTAAATTCTCACGGGATATTTTTGAATTGCTGATTTATTGAGTAGTACACATAGGCAACAACACTGTTGCCAATTAACACATATAATGAAGAGTTAATGTCATCTGGGAATTATATTTGGAGAAGTGACGCAGCTGTATTAGTCTGGACGCATTTCTGTATTTGAATCTAATAAATAGAAAGTGATTCGATGTGTTAGGATGACCATTGATCTCTAAATCTGATCACTTTTCCTGNTCACGGGATATTTTTGAATTGCTGATTTATTGAGTAGTACACATAGGCAACAACACTGTTGCCAATTAACACATATAATGAAGAGTTAATGTCATCTGGGAATTATATTTGGAGAAGTGACGCAGCTGTATTAGTCTGGACGCATTTCTGTATTTGAATCTAATAAATAGAAAGTGATTCGATGTGTTAGGATGACCATTGATCTCTAAATCTGATCACTTTTCCTGTTTTACTCATGATCATTCTTTTTCTGGAAAGTATGATATACCTCCTTCATCACTTCGTAATTTTAAGGAAATTACAATAACAACGTTTAAAACGATATGATAATGGAAGATCAAGCAAAACGATTTGATCAGTCATAATTGCGAATTTTCTACAAGTGCTTAATCTGTCATTATATAACTTTATCTTATTAATTATCCATGTATCTCTTTCCGCTGATATGAAATGACAAATACCGATTTAGCAGTTATGAGTTAATAAGATAAAGTTGCACCATTTCAATTGAAAATTGAAATAAAGTGGAAATTTTTACGTAACAATACTTTCACAATAAACTACTGTACAGTACTAAAGAACACACTCAAATTCTGAAAAGAACAGAGGTCAAACTGTAAGCTTTAATTCGCTTTCCTTAAAAATATTCTTAAGGACAAATTTGGAAAAGTCTTTTATCCTAAAATACCGGTATTCTTGCTTGCTGAATCCATGACAATCATCCGGAGACTTTATTCAGATGCAGCAAATTCTTTCAGAGCATAATATAGCAATTGAGCTGATGAGTAATTGACATAATTGTTTAAGCACGCTGTCATCGATTGAATCACATACAAACATTATAAAAAATTTATTGCCGTAAAATTTCTGAAGCGATTATTAAAATTTATTAAATTAAATGAAAAGTCTCAGGAAAGAAAACAATTGTTGAAGGAATGTTCATACCACCATAAACTAACTCTCTTTCTATATGAATTCGTATAGAATCTATTCCATCAGAAAACATAAAATATCCGTTGTCTTTAGATTAAAGGCATAAATTATTCATTATATTAAAATATGAATTAAAATCTCTTAGTGTTCGTTTACTAATAAGCTCTAATTGATGGAAATTGAATTCATATATTAAATAAGTATAACGCAATATATA